TGGAAGATTTTAATGCTTTGTCAAACTTCTTTTTAAAATAATATATCTATGCTGTTATGTCTTTTCCAGTTTTAATTATTTATTGTTGACTGCACTGGCTCTTCATTGTTGTGTGCAGGCTTTCTCTAGTTGCAGTGAGCAGGGGCTACACTCTTATTACGGTACACTGGGTTATTGCAGTGGGCTCTCTTGTTGTGGAGCACAGGCGTTAGGCTTGCGGGCTTCAATAATTTCGGTGGGTGCAATAGCTGTGGTGTACCGGCTTAGTTGCTCTGCAACATGTGGGATCTTCCTGGACCAGATATTGAACCTGTGTCTCCTGCCTTGGCAGGCAGATTCTTTACCAATGAGCCACCAGGGAAGTCCCCTCTCAAACATTTTTAAAGGTCACGGAATAATCATAATTTTCTCCTTAAGATTAAGATTATTAAGATTATTATTAAGACTAAGATATTAAAGTCACTTTGAACAGTTTCAACTTATCCTACACTACTGTGCAAATTGAGGACTCCCTATATTTATCATAACACAATCACAAGAGTGATAGCCTGTCACCTTTTCCATGTTCTGTTGGCTAAAAGCACATCACTTGTTCTCACTCAAGTGGGGCAGATCAGATTATACAGGGCTTAACACTAGAGGGGAAAGATCATGGCCTGTTTACAAATTTTGCCTCAGTTCAGTTCAGTTCAGTTCAGTCGCTCAGTTGCGTCCGACTCTTTGCAACCCTATGGACTGCAGCACGCCAGGCCTCCATGTCCATCACCAACTCCCGGAGTTTACTCAAATTCATGTCCACTGAGTCGGTGATGCCATCCAACCATCTCATCCTCTGTCGCCCCCTTCTTCTCCCACCTTCAATCTTCCCCAGCATCAGGGTCTTTTCAAATGAGTCAGCTCTTCGCATCAGGTGGCCAAAATATTGGAGTTTCAGCTTCAACATCAGTCCTTCCAATGAACACTCAGGACTGATTTCCTTTAGGATGGACTGGCTGGATCTCCTTGTAGTCCAAGAGACTCTCAAGAGTATTCTCCAACATGACACTTCAAAAGCATCAATTTTTCATAGTCCGACTCTCACATCCGTACATGACTACTGGAAAAACCATAGCCTTAACTAGATGACCAAGTTGTTGGCCAAGTAATGTCTCTGCTTTTTAACATGCTGTCTAGGCTGGTCATTAACTTTCCTGCCAAGGAGTAAGTGTCTTTTAATTTCATGGCTGCAGTCACCATCTGCAGTGATTTTGGAGCCCCCCAAAATAAAGTCTATCACTGTTTCCACATCTATTTGCCATGAAGTGATGGGACCAGATGCCATGATCTTTGTTTTCTGAATGTTGAGCCTTAAGCTAACTTTTTCACTCTCCTCTTTCACTTTCATCAAGAGGCTCTTTAGTTCTTCACTTTCTGCCATAAGGGTGATGTCATCTGCATATCTGAGGTTATTGATATTTCTCCCAGCAATCTTAATTCCAGCTTGTGCTTCATCCAACCCAGAGTTTCTCATGATGTACTCTGCATATAAGTTAAGTAAGCAGGGTAACAATATACAGTCTTGATGTACTCCTTTCCCAATTTGGAGCCAGTCTGTTGTTTCATGTCCAGTTCTCACTTTTGCTTCCTGACCTGCATACAGATTTCTCAAGAGGCAGGGTCTGGTATTCCCATCTCCTTCAGAATTTTCCACAGTTTATTGTGATCCACACAGTCAAAGGCTTTGGCATAGTCAATAAAGCAGAAATAGATGTTTTTCTGGAACTCTGTTGCTTTTTTGATGATCCAGCAGATGTTGGCAATTGGATCTCTGGTTCCTCTGCCTTTTCTAAAACCAGCTTGAACATCTGGAATTTCACGGTTCATGATTGAGTTTTCTAATCATGAACATATGACCATGTTATATCCATTCATTTGGTGAGGTCTTCTGTAGTTTGTTGGTTGGTTTTGTTAATTCATTTGTTTAGGACAATGTCTGTAATTTTCAGAATAGAGGAATTGCATAATTTTAAAAGAGCTTTTCCTAGGTTTTAAATATTTTTGTTGCTATGGTAAGTGGTGTTGATATTTAAATTTTATTTTCTAGTACTTTGTGACCAGCCGATAGAAATGCCATAGATTATTTTGTATTTTGAACTTGTATTCAGTAAGTCAACTTATTAGTTCGCAGATTCTTTTAGATACTACACAAATATAATCATGTTGTCTGCCAATTAGCACATTTTTACATCTTCCTTTCCAATCTTTATGTCGCTGGTTTCTTTTCATTGCCTTTTTGGAATGGCTAGGGCTTCCAGTACAAAGCTGAATAGAACAAGAGTAAAATTCTTTTTTTACTTCTGATGTTAAAGCATTCAATATTTTATCATGTGTATGATTTAACTGTAAATCTTTAAGGATGTGCTTCATCAGATTAAGAAACTTCTCCTTTTATATTAGTTGGCTGGATTTGATGTTAAATTTGAGTAAGTGCTTTTTCTGAATCTATGGAGATGATTATACAGTCCCCCCCCCACTTTTTTTCAGTAAATGCAGCAAACTATGGTGATTGATTTGTAGATATTAATTAAATGGATGTATACATTTGATCCTGCATGCCTAGGATAAAATCTGTTTATCATTAGATATTATCCTTATAATTTATTAGTTTATTTGATTTGCTAATGTTTTGCTAATAGAATGTTGGCATCTGTATTCATGAGCAACATAGGTCTGAAATATTCCATTCTTGTAATTTTCTTCCCTTGTCAATTTGTGACATCAGGATTATCTTTTCTTCTTAAATGAGGGAGAAGTTTCATTTTCCTCTGTCTTTGAAAGAGTTTGTATTTGGTTTGTATTATATCTTCCTTTGATGTTTGGTAGAAATTAAGTCATCTGGGTTTAGAGTTTTCTTTGTGGAAAAGTTATTAATTATTAATTTAACTTCAGTAACACCTATGACTATTTCTGTATTTTATTTATTCTTATGTCAGCTGGGAAAGATTGAGGGCAGGAGGAAAATGAGGTGACAGCTGAAGAATGGTTGGATGGCATCATTGACTCAATGGACATGAGTTTGAGCAGACCCCAGGAGATAGTGAAGGTCAGGGAAGCCTGGTGTATTGTAGTCCATGGGGTCACAAAGAATTGGACATAACTGAGTGGCTGAACCACAACGTCAGGTTTATGTTCAATATGTTATTGTTTCTTTGTCCATTAAAAACTGTTCTATTTTCCATTGTGATTTTCTCTTTGATCCATTGATTATTTAGAATTTTCTATTTAATTTTTAAATAGTTGGAAATTTTCAGTTTGTTCATTATTGATTTTTTAATTTGATTCCATTGTGGTTAGAGAACATCTTTTGTATAATTTTGGTCCTCAGATATATGCTGTTTTGTTTTATGGTCCAGCACATACATACTCTGTCTTTCATTCCAATCTTAAAGAAGGGCAATGCCAAAGAATGTTAAACTGCCATACGATTGTGCTTATTTCATATGTAAGGTTATGCCCCAAATCCTTCAAGCTAGGCTTCGGCAGTATGTGAACTGAGAACTTCAAGATGTACAAGTTGGGTTTAGAAAAGGCAGAGGAACCAGAAATCAAATTGCCCACATTCGTTGGATAATAGAGAAAGCAAGGGAATTCCAGAAAAACATCTACTTCTGCTTAATTGACAACAAACTGTGGAAAATTCTTAAAGAGATGAGAGTACTAGACCACCTTACCTTTCCCCTGAGAAATCTGTATGCATGTCAAGAAGCAACAGTTAGAACTGGACATGGAACAACTGACTGGCTCAAAATTGGGAAAGGAGTAAGACAAGGCTGTATATTGGCAGCCTGCTTATTTAAGTTACATGCAGAGTACATCATCTGAAATGCCAGGCTGGATGAATGATAAGCTGATTGCAGGGAGAAATATCAGCAACCTTAGATATTCAGATGATACTACTCTAACAGCAGAAAGACAAGAGGAACTAAAGAGCCTCTTGATAAGGGTGAAAGAAGAGAGTAAAAAACCTGACTTAAAACTCAACATTCAGAAAACTAAGATCATGATGTCCAGTTCCATCACTTCATGGCAATTGGAAGGGGGAAAGTGGAAGCTTTAACAGACTTTATTTTCTTGGATCTCCAAAACCACTGTGAACACTAACTGCAGCCATGAAATTAAAAGACATTTGCTCCTTGGAAGGAAAGCTATGACAAGCCTAGACAGCATATTAAAAAGCAGAGACATCACTTTGCCAACAAAGGTCCATCTAATCAAAGCTATGGTTTTCCAGTAGTCATGTACAGATGTGAAAGCTGAACCATAAAGAAGGCTGAGCACTGAAGAATTGATGCTTTTGAGCTGTGGTGTTGGAGAAGACTCTTTTTTTATTTTTTTGCTCTGTAGAAACACTGTTTATTCAAACGACAGGCAGGAAGCGGTGGCAGCAAGGGGTGAGGGGAGCCAGGTGGGGGCTGGGCAGGTCAACACTGCTCCCCTACATCCCTCGTCATCCTGCGTCGATGGCCACCCCGCTGTTGGCACCAAGGTGGAAGCACTCGCCCTTCTCACCCTCCTATCCCAAACTGAATAAATAGCATCCCTCTCCCCACGAATGCAGGGAGACTCGCGTGCTGAACTTGGCCCCGCTGCAGCCCAGAGTCAGGGGAGGGCAGAGGCTCAAAATGGCTTGTAGGGAGAAGAGCACAAAACTGCTCTCACCTTCTTCTTTCTCTCCTTCCTCCCTGCCACACGCTGCTCCCAGCCTGGTGCCAGGACAGGGCCTGGAGGGGAGGATTGTTGCCTAGTGCACACTGAGCTCAAGTTCGCAAGGCCATCCAGCCTGTCGCCCATCCATCCAGGCTGACCACCAAAGAGAACGTCAATTCACGCCACTTTATGGACAGAAAAGGAGGGGCAGGGAGTGAGGCAGTGGGCAGCCAGGTCTCTCCCAGCCTCAGAGGTAACCAGAGTCCTAGGAGCAGGCGCCCTACTGATCCATCTTGTCCAGGAGTGGGGTGGCATCACCAGCAGTAGACATGAGGGTGCTTTCGATCATAGGGCTGGGGGAGGGTCGAGGGATCAGCCGCTGCTTCTGTTTCCGCCACTCCGCCTCCTTCTCCTGTAGCCACTGCTCCACCATCTTGCCCCAGTCGATGGCTGCATGGCTGTTGGATTTGGCTGCTGCTGCATTGCCAGGAGCCGGAGGAGGGCTGGGGCTGGGCCTGGGCAGACTGTGGGGTGGTGCTGGCCTGCAGCTGGTGGTACTGTGGCGTGGTGATGGGTTGGCTGGGTGTTGTGTAGGAGTAGCTGGGGGTCATTAGTGGTGTGGCCACTGGCTGCTGGGTTGGTGTTGGGAATATGTGGTAAGCGCTACTGCCCCCTCTGCTGCCACCATAGCCATACTGGCTGGAGGCCCACTGTGTTGGGGTGGCATTAGGGTTCTGGCCCCAACCTGTCACGGCAGCAATGGCATTGAACATCTGTGAGGTCATGTTCTGGGGCAGGGCGTTCACAGCCCGTGCCAGATCTGCAAGGTTGATGTTGGCTGGGGTAGCATTGATAAAAGCAGGTGTTCGGGTCCTGCTGCTGCTAGTGGGGGTGATGCCTGGTACAGGATCCTGATAGTGATCCTTAAACCATCTGAAAAGGCCATTCACAGTGGGGAAGACTTGGCCCTGGTACCGGAATCCTTCTGGAGTCACAGTTACATACTCTATCCTGGGTTTACCCCGGGGCTGGTATCCCAGTAGGAACTTGCCGGGCAGTTCCTTGCAGGCACAGATGAAATAGAGAATGAAGGTGGGCTTCTTCTTAGTTTTGATGAGCAGCTCCTCTAATTTCTTATGGTCCCTACTGCTGCAGTCCTGATAATATTTGTGGTTTAGAAGATCCCGGGCAAAGGATGCCATAGGCTCAACATAGCAGGCAACAATCTCATTCAAGTCTTCAAACTCCTCACTGCTGATCCACAGGGTGGCTCCCAGGCTGAAGGCGTTTTCCTTGCCCTCTTCCCGCACATCCACGTGCTGGTAGATGCCGTCACTGACCTTCCGGGTCACTGTCAGGTGATTCTCACCCTTGCTGCTAGGTCGGATGATCATGTCACCCTGGTCCATGGTTTCCATCATTTTTTCTGCTTGCTTAAAATAATATTATGGAAGGATGGGTGTGCAGTCACTCGCTTGATATATGTGGTCCATTGCTGCTTCTGCTTCAGGTCCTTCTCCTGCTTGTGGTCTGCTGCTTCAGCATCAAAGTCATAGTAGGTATCCTTGGGCAGCTTCCACTCATTGTTCCTATCCATGAGGTCCGAGGTGCGGCAGGTCAGGTCTGCACTAAACTTCTCAATGTCAATCTTCATGATGCGGCAGTGAACAGTCATTCCCATCTTCACTCATTCCTCTGGCCGCTTTACCACTTTGTCACTGAGGAATTTGGTGGGGATGAAGCCAGTGACACCATTGTCTAGCCGTGTTTTGACACTGATGGCCTGGCCTGAGCATGAACCACTGTCAAAGTGGTTCCAGACCTTGCTTAGTTCCGGGAAATTGTCCTGTTGACAGAAAGGGCACTGCCACAGCCCCGTCTCATCGTTGCGGATTGCCTGGTCATAGCTCTCACCCTGTGGACGCCTGTGGGCAATGCCAGTGATATTGCAGATAATGAGCTTTCCAATGTAGAAGGTCTCTGGTGTTTCTTTGGTTAACATATTGAAGATTTCCTCTGTGTTGGGAGAGCTGTAGGCTGTCCCGAGGTCCTTATATCGACAGCTCAGCTCCGCTCAGATGTCGTACAGTGTGATGTGTTTGTCACCGTAGCCCTGCCTCTCCAGTTCTTCTGCAAAGGCATTAAGGTCTAGGTCCTTGAGTCGCTCTGGGTTTTCCAAGATTTCTTCAAGGGCTCCTGCAGGGTTGGCATCCTCAGCTGATTCATCATATTCTAGAGCATTCACTTCCATCTTCCTGGCCCACTCATAAGTCTCAGGGTGAACTCAGGAACCATCAAGGACTTCAATATATGAGTCAGTGCTGTCCCCCAGGGAGGCAGTGTCAATCTTGAGGAAGCCAGCGCAATTCATGAAGACTTTGGGACCCATGTGGCACATGGTGACCAGCTGAGTCTGGTTCTCGAGCCTGGTGTTGTTCTGTTTCAGAATCTTCTGGAGATGGGTCCCCTTTTGAGGTCCCAGGCCACAGACATACTGAATCAACGCCTGGCTGTAGGGGTGGGCAATGACACGGCTGACATCAACTCCAACCTCATTGACTCGGTTAATGAATTCACAGTACAGGGCATTGAGTAGCTCTTCTTTCACCACATGCTCCTGCAAGGGGTGAAACTTAAGGCATAGGATGTCTTCATCTGAGCTGCACACCTGGGCAAACTCAATTAGAGGGTCCTGGATGCGCCAGGCCAGGGAGACGGCCTGTCTCAGCACAGGAGCGTAATCCCGGAACTCTGCCTCTGATTTCTTGCTGTTCATATAGAGGATGGCCAACTCGTTTTCAATCAGCTCCACCCCAATAGAGGACAGCTGCTGACCCTGGTCCAGCTCATGCACGATGCGCTTCATATCCTCAATCAACATCTGGGCATCCCTGTTCTTTCTTGCAACTGTCACCACGTGAGGCTTTTTGTTCAGAAGGAATTTCTTCAGAGTTTCAATGTCTTGAGCCTTCTTCTCCCGCTCTTCCTCTCTCCATGCAGTTCGCCGTTTGGTAAAATGAGGCAACCGGAGGAAGTCTGTCACTTTGGAGAAGACTCTTGAGAGTCCCTTTCCTGCAAGATCAAACCAGTCAATCCTAAAGAAAATCAGCCCTGAATACTCACTAGAAGGACTGATGTTGAAGCTGAAGCTCCAGTACTTTGGCCACCTAATCTAAAGAGCTTACTCATTGGAAAAGACCCTGATGCTAGGAAAGGTTGAGAGTAGGAGGAGAAGGGGGCGATAGAGGATGAGATGGTCAGATAGGATCACTGACTCAATGGACATGAGTTTGAGCAAACTCTGAGTGACAGTGAGGGACAGGCGAGCCTGGCACACTGCAGTCCATGCGGTCACAAAGAGTTGGACACGAATTAGTGACTGAACAACAACAAATATACTCTTAGTTTCATGTGTGCTTGCAAATAAATTTCACTCTGCAGTTGTTAGGCATCATATTCTGTATATGACATTTAGATCAAAAGAATTAATACTATAGATTAGAACTCCATATCCTTACTAATTTTTTGTCTTGTTCTTCTTAAGGTATTGAAAGGAAAGTTAAAATCTCCAATTGTGACTGTTGGTTTGTCTCTTCCTTCTTTTAGTTCTGTCAAATATTGTTTCATGGCTTTTAAAGCTGTGATATTGGGCACATACACATTTATAATTGTCTCTTGATGTTTGTGCTGTATGCTCAGACTCTCAGGTTGGGTCTGACTCTTTGCAACCCCTTGGACTGTAGCCCACCAGCCCTCTCTGTCCATGGGATTTTTCAGGCAAGAATACTTGAGTAGGGTACCATTTACTCCTCCAGGGGATCTTCCTGACCCAGGGGTCAAACCTTTGTCCCTTATGTCTCCTGCTTTGGCAGGCATAATCTTTACCACTAGCTCCACCTGGGAAGCCCTGTCTCTTGATGAATTCACCATTATTATAGAATGTCCCTGTTTATTTCTGAGAGTTCTCCTTGTCTTGAATGTGAATATAATCACTCCGGCTTTCTGTGCTTACTGTTTCTGTTTGTGTGATATATCTCTTTCTATCCTTTTACTTTCAACTTATCTGTGTTCTTATATTTAAAGTGTGTCTCATATATATAAAGTTGGGTCATTTAAACAAACTAATCATAAATCTCTGTCTTTAATCATAGAATTTGATCCTTTTGTATATAGGTGATAACTGAAATGTTTGGATTTAAGTCTACTGTATCACCCTTTGCTTTCATTGTGTTCCATCTGGTATTCATTCCCTTTTCTGCCTTTTCTGCCATTAAAAAAATTAAGCAAAGGGAGAACCGACAAAGCTTCATACATAATTGGAGGTTTTAACACCCTTCCCTCACCAATTGGTAGAACCAGACATAAAATCAACAGATGTAGAGGATCTGAACCACACTATTAAACTTTGACTTAATTGATATTTGCAGGATGTTGCATCACAAAATGGCTGACTACTTACTTCGAGTATATGTAATACACAAGGTGCTAAGCAATAAAATTAAAAGGATTGAAATTATACAGACTATATTCTCTGCCACAGTGGAATTATATCAGAGCTCAGTAACTATAACTAGAAAAACCTGAAACATTTGGAAATGAAAAACACTTCTATATAATCCATGAGCCAAAAAAAAAAAAATCACATGGGAAATTGAAAAATATTTTAATCTTTTATAAAATAACATTAAAATTACAATATTTTGTGCTAAGTTGCTCAGTCCTGTCTGATTCTTTGAGACCACGTGGACTGTAGCCTGCCAGGCTCCTCTGTCCATGGAATTTTCCAGGCAAGACTACTGGAGTTGTTTGCTGTGTCCTCCCTCAGGGATCTTTCCCATCCAGGGACTGAATCCATGTCTCTTATGTCTCCTGCATTGGAGGTGGGTTCTTTACCACTAGCACCACCTGGGAAGCCCTAATATTTTGTGAGATGCAGCTAAATAAGAGGAAAATTCACATCTTTAAATGCTTGTATTAGAAAGAAGTGAAGTGAAGTGAAGTCGCTCAATCATGTCCCACTCTTTGCGACCCCGTGAACTATAGCCTACCACGCTCCTCCCTCCATGGCATTTTCCAGGCAAGAGTACTAAGAAAAACCTAAAGCCAATGACCTGTGACCTTACCTCAAGAAATTATATAACAAAATACAAGTTGGAACATAAAGTAAGTGAGGAAGGAAATTATAAAGACAAGTGTGGTAATTAATGAAATAGAACATAGGCCAACAATAGTGAAAAATCAATAAAGCCAAATGGTTCTTTTAAAATGTCAGCAAAATTGATAAGCTTTTGGCTAAACTGACAAAGAAAAAAAAAGAAGACATAAAATATTAATATTAGGAATGAAAGTGGGGACATCACAATAGTCTCTACAAATACTAAAAGAATAGTAAGGGAATCAGGTATTATAATTAACCTTATGCCAAAAAATTGGGCAATCTAGATGAAAAGGACTAGTTCTCTCAAAGACAAAAACTACTTAAACTGGCACAAAAAGAAACAGGAAGTTTGGATAGCCCTTTATTAATGTCAAAAATTGAATGTGTAATTTAAAACTTGCCCCAAAAGGCCACGACCCCTAAGAGGTGCCCCGGGCGCACAGTGCGGCGCTGGGGCCGTGCTAGGACCTCGTAGCAGTTCAGCGGCTGGGCGAGCGGATGCTGAGCAAGGGGCAGTCTTCAGCGCTGGCCGGGTTTCGGGGTGGGGGCGGGGGCAGCTCCGGGGGCTGGGGGTCGCTGCAAAAGCGACGCGTTCACGTCGCGGTCAAGTATGACCGGCTGGAGCTGCGGCTAAGCCTGGACGTGGAGAAGTGGATCGACGGGCGCTTGGAGGAGTTGTACAGTGCAGGGAGGCAGACAATGAGGTCAACGTACTGAATTGCTGAAACTAGTGAGCGAAGAGGAGAGAAGCCGGAACATCGAGGGATCTTCTAAAGTCGTGCATGAACCCCACAGAGGGCTTCATCCAGGAGCTGCTGGTGAAGCCCCGAGGCCTCCACAAGCAGCCAGCTTTCCATCAGCCCAGCAGCTTCGGTGGCGGCAACCTGAGCCCCTCCAGGACAGAGCCCGAAAGGCACCGCCCTGATCCTCTCCGGCCTCCGTGACCTCCTGCAGCATCTCCCCTTAATAAGTTGTATTCAACGGATCTATAACAATAACACTGCGTTCCTGTTTTAAAAACACACACAAAAACTCGCCGAAAAGAAAACCCCAGGCCCAAGAGGCTTCACTGATGAATTCTATAAGACATTTTACAAGTAAAAACCCATCCCATACAAACTCCTTTAGAAAACAAGGAAGTAAGAAACACTTCCCAATTCGTTTTATCCCCTTATTTATTTATTATATTTGTAAAAAGGGTCTTGACCATTTGAGTTTATACAGTTTTAACAATTTTTGTATAAAGGCAACGGTAAACAACAAATATAATTGTCAAGACAATCACCAAAGTTACAGTTCCAGATCCGATGCTGTGAGTAATGTTCTAAAACCATCTGTGTGGGTCTAGCCCAGATAATTGATCAGCTAGTTGTTTAGCAAAAGTTTTCAAATTAGTGGAAGAGGGCAGATTTTTAGAAAAGGTTTCAAAGATTTCTTTTTGTAATAGTTGTACAGAGACACATTATCATGTATGTTTTGTAAATGAAATTTGATTTGTTCCCAGTTGTAGGCACTATGATTGA